AAGGGTATTACTAGGTATTTAAAATATTTATAATACGTTTAAAAAGCAGTCTTTTATTTATCTCTTTCTTAAATTTAAATATATTAATATTTATTTTATATATTAATCTTAGAAAAATACTTAGCTCCTTAATAGTAGTTAATAATCTCTAAAATAAAAGGTAAAAGGTACCGATTTTTTTATATAACTTAGTTAAGTCCTTAGTAGTCTATATATAGCTATAAGGTATTATCTTTCTTTAAAATAAAAAGGATAAGCGCCTTAGCTAAGCTCTTTAACTCTTAGATTATTTTCCTTTTTATTATATCTTAGATTTAGTTATATAATACTTAAAGCTCCCTTTATAATAAAAGGTAAATCGGTTTATAAAAGGGTTTTATATTAAGAATTAAATTAATTAAGTAGTTTATTTTCTTTTTAGCTAGTAATAAGTTAGATTTATTAGCTAAGAAAGTATCTTTAAACTAATAAAGTATTAATAGGATTTTAGCTTATTCTTCTTATAAAATCCCTTTATTTTTATCTTTATTTAATAGTAAAATTAGCTTAAGATTAAGCGCTATTATATATACTCTTACCTTATTTTTTATATTCTTAAAGGAATCTATATAGATTCTATAAGGTTTTACTACCTAGTTATTACTTAAACTATTATTATTATTTCGATAAGATAATATAGATATATTTATTTTTTAAGATAGTAACGAATAAAAGGATTAATACTTAATTATTTAGTATTAACTTATTAGTATTAATATAGAAATAAGTAATTATCTTTTTAGTACCTCTTATATTTATTATTTAAAGTAATACTAACTATACTTTTTACTCCCTTATATTACTATTACTTAGCTATAATAACTTAAGGTATAATAGCGCTACTTATAGTAATCTCTATTATTAAGTAAAGTATATATTTATAAGGTTAATAGTACTATAAGTATCTAAGTATATAGGGACTTTAATAGGGTTTCGCTTTAATATTATTATAAGAGTTTTAAGTAACTATCTTATAAGTATTAAGCTTACTAAGGAAGAAGTATTTACCTTAATATCTTACCTTTTCCTTAATTTATAGTATTAAGTCTAAGAGTCTTTATTAAGGTTTCTACCTTTAAAAAATTAATATATTTTATAGATAGGTATCCTAGCTTATTATATTAAAAATATATAATTCCTAATTAAGTAAAAGATCCTCCTCCTTAATAACGTCCTTTAGTTTAGCCCTTAGTAAGTATATTGCTAGCTTATATATTATTAGTCGAATTAATAGTATTTCCTTAATAATTTAGCTTAGCTTATTAGCCTTTTTAATTCCTCCTTTTATATATACTACCTTAAGGTATAGTACTATTTTTATTCTTAGTTCCTCTAAGTATAAAAGTAGTATTAATATATCGCTTCTTATTAATAATAATATTTTAATATTATTAAGCGACTTATATAAGCTCTTCTTATTAATAGGTATAAATAAGTATTAAATAAAGGTTAATTTAGTCTTAAAGTTATAGCTCTAGCTTAGTAAAAAATATATAAGTATATACTTTTTTAAATAAGGGTTTAAAATACCTCTCTAAGGAGTTAAGGTATAAGCTAAACTCTATAAGAGATTAGCTTTCTTATTAATAAGCCTCCTTTAATTATATTACTAATAGTATCTCTTTATTAATAGTATCCTAATTTAAGATAAGTATTTATTCCTTAAAGTATACTTAATCTATACTATATTTAGTTTAGTTAATTAGCGTTTATTCTTTAAGATATTAAGGCTATCTCGCTTTATAGTTACTATATATATAATCTACCGCTTAAAGGGTCTTTATTTTATCGTAATAAAAACGTTTAAGCGCTACCCTAAAAGCGTCCTTTAAATTATAAGTCTAGTTTAAACGTTTCTATATATTAGTAGGTTAAGATAATTAAGCGATGTTTTTAATCTTAACCTTACTACTATAACTACCGTTTAATTTAAGGGAGTAGGACTATTAATACTTTCTTAAATAGATAGCGATAGTATTAGCGCGTATAGTAATTTCCTCCTTTAATTATATAATATAATCTTATAAGTATTCTATCTCCTTTAGCTCCTTAATGCGCGCTTATAAAGCTATAAGCTTTTCCTTATAAGATAGTTATCTTATATATATAAGTAGCGATATCTTCGATATAGTTATAACGCTATCTATAGTAAGGGTTTATTCTAAGGATATATCTTCTTATTCTTTATCTTTTAAGTAGATACTTAATATATATAATAAAGAGGCCTTAACTAATTAACTACTATATCGCGCTATAGGAGCGTTATATAGTCTTTTTTAAGTAGCTATCTTTACTAAGTAACTAAAAAGGAAAGCTTTAGAAATTATAAAGGAATATATATTATAGTACGATTAGCTAGGTAGTAAAGATAGCTAGAGGTATTACGCTATATATATTATATTCTCCTTATTATAAGACTAAAGCTTACTAAAAAAGGGATTTATCCTCTTTAGTTAAAATAATAAGTAATCTATAACTCGCGAGCGGGGTATATATAATTCCCTATTAATACCTAACTAATATATTAATACTATATACCTAAGTACCTTTTTAGCTTATACCTCTTAGTAGCGATCTTATAAATATATATCTATATAGTTAGTAATACTTATAATTATAGCTTATTTACTTTATAAAAATAAAGTTTTTATTCTATCTTTTTATTAAGTAGGTCTCCCTTTAAGATTTATAGTAAATTACTCTTAGTATAAGTATTAGGGCTATTTAAGCTCCTATATACTATCTAGGTTAGTATACTCCTAAGTCTTATAAGTCTTAGCTTATAATTTAATCCCTTTAATCTATAAGGTTTAGTTAAGGCTCTCTCTTAGTCTTATAATATAATTATCCTCTTTTACTTCCTTTAAAGATTTCTTACGAAAAAAAGGGGTCTAGCTTAATAAGTAGTCTCCTTTTTAAGGGATATATAACTTATATATTTCTAATAGTACCCCTTAGTATAACTATATTCCTTACCTTTATATTTTAATTTAAGCGTTATAATAGCACTAATAGCTCGTAAATAGCTTTAAAGGTAATTTAAGTAGGTAAAAGATAATCTAGCTATATAAACCGGGCTAAGAACTCTTAATTAAAGGCTTAAGAGTATATTAAAAGTAAGAAGGGTATAGAAAGGTAAATTTAATTATATATCTTTATCTCTTTATTAAGATAAGAGAGGGGCTTATATAAGTATAGTAACTATAAATAGCTAGCTATAAAAAGGTATTAAGATATTCCTATACCTAAGTTAGGCCTATATTATATCCTTAGGCTAAGGGAGTTATATTAGTTAAGCAGTCTCCCTTATATATTACTATTAAGTCTATAAGGTACTATTTTAGTCTTTTAAGCTTACTCTCCTTAATAATTACCTACTTTTAAGGAAAATCTACTATTTATAGTACTATATTAATCTAATATCTCTAAGTCTTAGTTTAAAGATCTATCCTTTATCTTATAAGCTCTTTACCTATAACTCGATCTTTCTAAATTTATATTTAAAAGAAAGGTATATATTTTCGCGGAGTAGCTCGCGAAGTACCTATAACGTAGTCATCTCTTCGAAGTCCGCGTATAGCCCTTAAGACTGCTGGGAGCATCGCCTTCGCGGTCCCTAGCTAATTAGCTTAGCTTCTTAGCATCTTCATCTTTTAATTATTTTCACGATGCACCCGACTTAGAGTCACGGTCCCACGGCCATAGCTTTCTTGCGCACGACAGTGCCAGAAGTTCCTTAAGCAGAGATCGACTATTTCTCTCGATCAACAACAGCTCTTGGAACGGCGTCGAGAAATTAGCAGCTAAATCACTCTTAAGAGGCTCGTTTGCTAGTGTGGAAGGAGTAATAGCTTAACAAGTTTGCCAAGGAAAGAGCAACCGAATCACTAGTGCAGTGATTCACTCCGCGGCAGGCACCTCAGCAAGTAAAAAGTGATGCAAGAATATCACCTCCGTCATGCAATAAACTATTCTATAAAGGCTGCCTAGTACCTTGTCTACTTATGCTGAATATCAACCAGAAATCACGAACTGCTGCCTCGTGGGTCAATGCCTGCTATGTTGACGAGACTATGGAAGAGGAAGGCCAATCGTTTCAGGCTTCGGCCGAGAACCCACATCCTGGCCGGTATTAAGTATGAGCCAAGAGGTGGTAAATTATACCAGGGAGCCATTGGACTCACGGGTGCGGCGAAAAGAACAGGCATCTATCTGTTACTAGAGGGCAGGGCGGAGCTGCTCAAGCAACCGGCTGAAGAGCTAGGCTTTCGGGCATGATCGAGGAGTAATGAGCCTCCTTCTAGGAACGTCGGCGAAGCTATATGTCACGCAGTCTCACCGAGCCGTTGGTCTTTCTATAAATTTTCATTACCATGTCGGCATAGCCAATGACTCCAGCTCACTTCATGCACATGCCCACGACTCAGTATCAGCTCATTTCTCGATAGCATTGACTGCTTTATAGGCAGAAATGCTGGAAAAGCGTCCGGTCGTTGCCCCGGCTAGCCACCCCGAACCCGGTTGATCCTGACAGCCATAAAGGGAGAGCGGCAATGTTGAGATAATACACTGCATAGTGCTTACTACCCGCCAATCTTCTTTCAAACCAGGCCAACTTCTCACGCCCGACCTTTGGTAGCTCTTTGTCTGCCCAGGATGCTCCTATCATATAGGCCATCTACGAAAGACGATACACGGGTCCACACCCACTCAAAGCAGAGGACAGGCGTTGGAGGGATTTCTTGTACAGACCTGAGTATCCGTCAGGTTATGCCCGTCGATGAACAGACATGCCTGGCTCTTACCTTGTTTGCTTGTACTTGCATACATATATATGTGTGTCTACAAACCCCCTTCTTTCTTCCTCAGAGTCTGTTCCTTCCAACACTGCATTCCACACTCTTCTTCAATACTGTCCCTCACTTTCAGGTTCCAACACTACTGCTCAACACATACACACTATGAAGTCCTCGTCCATTCTTGCCGTGGCAGCCTTCTTTGCTCGAGGTGCCGTCAGTACCTGCGAGCTCGCCGGAACACTCGCTGGCACGACTTGCGAATGGCAAGGCACGGCTCCGAATTGCGGAGAGGCCAAGGCGGGCTTGGAGCTCGGCAAAGACACGGACAAAGGAGAGCAGCTGGTCGCTTGGACCCGAGATCATACTTGGAGCCAGTTGTTTGTCGCCGACTATGAAATCTCGGGGAGCCGTTTTCAACTCAACCAAGATATGCTGCCCTGTGCGGACCAGTACGGCCAGAGCTGCTGGGGAGGGTATAAGCGGCTTGTCTGCAACGGAACCAAGGTACGTCGTGACAGAGACCCAAACGATATCAACATTCTAAAACAAGAATAAGATTCCTCAAGAGACCGTGGATATCATCAGCTCGCCACTATCGAACTCACCCTGCGCCCAAGGCGACGAAGTCTGCATCGGACCCCGTCCCGAGAGTAGTGACCTGGCATTTGGTTACATTGACATTGGTAAAGGGTCGCATAGGACCTAAAAAGTAGGCTAATAGTGTGGGATACCGCACATTTGTATGCGCGGAAACCCCCGCCCGTATGTGAGACCGCCAAAAACTCTTATAACGTAAATAACGCTACTTACGCTGCCAAATTAAATCTGTTTACAACTGTTAGGGTGCTGGGTGACAGGCAAACCTACCGTGACTAGCGATAAATACGAAGTGGTGCTCGCTATGTCTAGTGGTAGTCCTCCCGTGACTCTAGATAGTCGTAAGATATACTATCCGAGTAGTAAGAGTAAAAGGCTTATCCTTTCTAACTATCCGGTCGTTAGGTCCGTCTTTTATATAGACGAGTCTAATATTGCTTATCTAGTTCTCAAACGGGTGTTTGAGAGCGCACGTGGAAGTGAGAGTCGGTTATTGATCCCAGTAGAACATAGTGAAAGTGTAGTACATGTTCGAGCCGTGCCGAGAGCCGTGAACATCCTAGATTTTCTCTCTTAAAGCCCATACTGCTTAAAGTACCTCCTCGCTTCATTTCGCCTTCCCTCTTAAATGCTTTCGCTAGCATTGGTGCTGCTCGTGCAGACACTTTTACAGTGTAGTAAGAAGACTCTTGCTTCAAATAGATCTTTTAGATCTTTATGGCTTTGCGAATGTACATCCCTTGCGGCGAATGAGTTATTGGTTCCCGGCGGAATGAACTGGAGAGGTCAGATGCCTGACCTTGCTGTCCTAGGGTCGGCTTTATGGACAAGATTTCCCCTACCTTGTATGCACATCTGCCTACCAAAGCATGCTCCTCGTCAAACATGTCAATGTAGATCTGCAGTCCTTTAAAATGGATAGCGATGGCCTCTTCCACGATTCCTTGTGCTAGAAGCGTGCTTCTAGGGCGTACATGGCGGGTGGCGTTTTGGGGCTGGCCTCTAATTAGCGGTGCTCGCAGTATTTGCTCCGCATTGTTCAGGTCGCCACGACGATACAGGAGAAACCCCAAGTAGAGCTGAGTGATTGTAATCGCACCCGATTGCTCTGGGGCGCGTTGCCGCATAGTTTCTTGGCTTCCAGTTGAGCATCCAAGGCATCCTCAAATTTCTGTAGCTGACTGAGAGAGTTGCCTAATCCCGTCAATATTCGAGGCATGCGCCGATCGTCTTTGCCGATATAGCCTTTGGATATGGCTGTCAAGGCATAATTTCAGGCCAGTTGATTACTTTCCGCGCCTCGGGTAGGCTGCCCAGACTCGTTGAACATGCGACCTTCCATGCGGCGGCAGTCTGAAGGATACAGCTCGTTCGGAGTGCTCGCTACTATATTTCAATAACTTTTCGGGCGAGCGCAAAAGTCTCGGTGGCGGCGTGGTGATGGAAACGTTCAAATTGATAGCTGAGAACGCTCTTAGTTACAACACGGTGTGACTAGACACTTGCGATGCGCACTCGAAGATAAGTTTCCCCAGTTTATTCTCCAAGTCTGCAAATGTTGAGGAAGCCTCCAGGAAATGTGCAGCCAGCCGCTTGATGTGCACCAAGCACAGCTCGGAGTCTCTGAAGAGATCCGGAGGCCAATGTTGCGTGACATTCGGGAATTCTGCTTGATGATTCGAAAGGAGGAAAAGGATGAACTCCTTCAACTCTTTGTTATAGTTGTTATATTATACCTCTGCAACACCAGGGACAGGTGCATAGTCCGCGTAGATGGTGAGCTGTGCCCTGTTCTCATGCTCGGAGAGTGCCTCGACCATCTAAAGAGCTGTATCCGGCTGCGATGGGACGTTGCCATGTAGTAGTCTGTTCTAAGACTCTTGAAATTGCTCTTGTATATCTTTACAGCCGGGTATTGTGTCGTTGGCTACGCCGAGGAGTACTGACTCACTTTCTTTGAACGCTCATGCATACTCTATCTCCTTTTCACTCTCTGCGGAGCTTCCGTTGAGATGAGCGACTGCTGAAATCACGACGCCGGTCAAGAGCCGTTACGGGCCTCTTGCAGGTAGCCACGCGTGTGTGTTATGTCAGGATGGATGCCTTCCCCAGCCGCCTTTCCTGGAATCATCCCCGGCTCCCCAAATCCGGATGTGGCAGGCTCAAGGCTGTTTCCGTCGCGACTGGGGACAATCTACTCACTCTTGGCCTCGTCCGCAGTCCTGTCAATGTCGTCCTTGCCATTGTCCCCGGCGCCATGGGAATCCCCGTCGCTCCCCTGCGCGACTTCTTGTGCAGCTTTTTTACTCTCCTTGGCCTCCTCGTCGGACTCTACTTTCTCGTTCTCGTGGGCCTCGTCGACCAATCGGTCTCCGAGATAGTCCTTTGGTTCGATGTGCTCAAGATCCGTCCCCTCGACGCCCTTGACCTCGTGCAATGGACTGCAGTCGCCAATCGTCCTCTTCTTGCCGGAGCTCCCCTTGGTATTCTTGTTGGGCTCAACGGCACCAGATACACGTTTTTTTGCCTCCTCATCAAGGCGGGGGACTTTGGCCCAGCGGGCGATAGTTGTCCTCGGGATGCCGAAGTGTTTGGCAGCGTCGGCATAAGAGGGAGCGCGATAGCCTTGCTCGTTGGCCTGTGACACGCTTGGATCGAAAACTTGGTAATGGCTAAGGAACATGACAACTTCATCCCTCTTATGGCGGGAATAGCTTCTCTCAACACGGCGAATTGGCCTCGTGGGCTTGAAAGGGCGCTCGCCGGGCTTCTTCCGCTTTGGAACCGGCTTTGCCTTTTTATCCATTGGTAGCTCAGTGAGAGGCGGCATCGCGAAGACGGCTCTTTCAAAGCTTCAAAAACGAGGAATGTGTGTGTATGGGCGTACGTGGGTGGGCACGACGAGCCAAGCGAGGATGGATGGCTAGGGCGAATTTGAGTCCGTATATACTGTAAATTCGGTGGTGCGTCTATCGGTAAGGCCCAGACCGCCAAGAACGTCTTAGTTTCTCGAGCTACAGCGACAAATTCGGGCAGTCTTGGCGATCGACAAGGGCGGGGGCATCCAACAAGAGATTTCATAGGAGGGCAGATCACTTGCCGACGGGGTTCCCCGCTGCCAAGACTGCCCGGATTGGCAGAGTTATTGCGGCACTGCGATGATTCTTCGGTACGGGGCCGTCCACGCACGTTTTAAAGCCAACTATTGAGGAGAGTGGGCATAAGAGGCCACAGTCATGCCCAATAGACCTAATAGTCATGCATAAGGAAGCCTACCTAACCAACATGACTCCCCTAGCCCAAGGACATTATGCAGGCCTAACTTAGGTATAGGAATATCTTAATGCCCTCTTTTAGCTAGCTATATATAGTTACTATACCTATATAAGCCCCTCCCTTATCTTAATAGATAGACTAAGATATATATTATTAAATTTTCCTTTCTATGCCCCTATTTATTCTACTATGCTCTTAAGCCCCTGCTTAAGAGTTATAAGCCCGGCCTATATAGCTAGACTATCTTTTACCCGCCGATATTACCTTTAAAGCTATTTACGAGCTATTAACGCCGTTATAACGCTTAAATCGTAGTATTAAGGCAAGGAACCTAGCTATACTAAAGGGCACTACTAGAAATATACGAATTATATATCCCTTAAAAAAGGATATTACTTATTAAGCTAGAACCCTTAATTTTCCTAAGATAACGTTAAAGGAAGTAAGAGGGGATACTTATATTATAAGACTAAAGGAAAGCCTTAATTAGACCTTATAGATTAAGGGGATTAAATTATAGGCCTAGACTTATAAGATTTAGGAATATACTAACCTAGATAGTATAAAGGAGTTTAAATAGCCCTAATAGCTAAACTAGAAGCAATTTATTATTAACCTTAAAGGGAGACCTTTTTAATAAGAAGATAAAACTAAGGCTATATTCCTTATAAGGTAAATAGGCTATAATAAATAATACTAGGAAATAAATAACTCCTTTTATAACCTTAAGAAAAGGTTCTAGCTATAATTCGATCGCTATAAGGTCTAGTAGAAAGCCTTAATCGCACTTAAAGAATTAATTAAGAAAACGATTAGTAAAGGGCCTTATAGGGCAACCTTAATATATAATAGCTTAAGAGAGAAAATTAAGGAATTAAAGAAATAAGCCCTACCCTTAATAGTAAAGGAGAAAAAGCTAATTTATAAGAGATATATAACCTCTATTAATAAAAGAGGTATATAAGACTAGGAAGTATAAGTAAAATAGCTCGACTAAATTATTATAGATTAATAAGACCTTAAGGTCGATATACTTAATAATATAAGAATTAGATAGGATTTTCTTATAGTAGTAAACGAGTAGGACCTATATTAGTCTATAATAATAAAGGCTCTTAACCTTTATAATAAAAGATATAGTAAAGATTAACTCCCTTAAGGAACTTAATACCTAACTTTAAATAAGAATATACTTATAAGAAGAAGTTATAACTACTTATAAAAAGAGGAAGCGCTAATTAAATCTCTAGGAAAGTAAATATATAAGCTAAATACGTTAGCTATAAGTAGTACGTTAATAGCTTACTAAGCTAATATAAAAATTACTACTTATTATAAGTAATATATAATAAGAAACCTTTATTAGGCTAAAAATATAGTAATCTAGCTAAATAGAATATTAAAAAACAGCTAAAAGACTATCTAAATAAGAAAGTAAAATACCTAGCCTAGACCCTTAATTCCTACCTTAAAGGAAGAGAACTAATAAATACTATTATTAGTAATAATAAGCTAGGAAAGACTATTAATATAGTTACTCTATCTAAGGTAAATATAGCTATTAAAGGAACGCTATTACTTACTAATAAATTAATCTATAACTTAAGGGCCGATATAAACCTCTTTAATAACCTAGGATAGTTTTAGAAAGGAACCTTTAAGTAAGGTTCTAATAATAAAGTCTAGGTTAAAAACTAAGCTTTTAAGATATAAGAAATAAGAATAGTAGTTATTATAAGAGTCTTTAACTATTATAAGTTATAGGCTTAGGCTATAGCCTAAGCTATATAATTATATATAAAGGGCCGGATCCTATATATATATATATAGGCTAGCTATATATAAAAGAGCTTTATATAGCTTATTAATATTATCTTATAAACGGCACCTATATATACGCCTCTACTTACTCCGTAATAGTATAAGCTATTAACTAATAAATCTAATAGATATCTCCTTAGAAAGGGTACTACTTCTTTAAGGGAGTACCTTACTACCCTTTAAGTAGATAAGAAGTATTATAGCTATCTTAAAAGCAATTAAAAGTACGATAGCTAGTAAAAAGAATAAGGTTCTTACTATACTAAGGGAGCTATTTATAAGACTAGCGTTAACCCCTAAGACCTCTATAATACTTACTATAGTAATAGTACTATTAATATAGAAGCTACTTCCTTAGCTAACTTAAGATAGTAAGCTTAAGTCCTTTTACTTCTTTCTTAGCTAGCTATAGATAAAGTTTATAATAAACGAGAAATAGGGCTTAAATAGCTATTATAATATAGTATAGTATTTACTCTTTTATACGCTACTAAAGCTTTAGATATAGCGGATCTTTAGATTCTAAGATAAGGGCGGCCCTAAGGGTAAACGCGACCTATAGGACTTCTTTTAATACCTTATATATACGTTCGGTAACGTATAGGAGTAGGAGAAGGCGTAGGATAAGCTATAGACCCTTAGGTAAAGGGATAGGTAGACCTTTAGTAAATTCCTCCTTAACTTTAAAGAGACGCTTTTATAAGCGGCGGGAACTATAGTATAAGAAGATAGCGTAAAGCTTATATAGTTATAAAACTTAATTACGCTAGCTTTATAGGAGCTACTATAAGAGTCTTTAACTATTATAGGTTATAGGCTTAGGCTATAGCCTAAGTTATATAGTTATATATAAAGGGCCGGATCCTATATATATATATATAGGCTAGCCGCGTATAAGAGAGCTCTATATAGCTTATTAATATTATCCTACGGACGGCACCTATGCCTATACCTCTGCTTACTCTATAATAGTATAAGCTATTAACTAATAGATCTAATAGATATCTCTCTAAAGAGGGCGCCTCCCTTTTAAGGAAGTACTCCGCCCCTCTCTAGATAGATAGGAAGTATCGTAGCTATCCTAGAAGCGATTAAAAGCGCGACGGCTAGCGAGAAAGATAAGGTTCTCGCTATACTAAGGGAGCTATCTACGAGACTAGCTCTAACCCCTATAGCCTCTATAACGCCGGTTACGGCGGCGATACTACTAACGTAGAAGCTGCTCCCTTAGCCGACTTAGGACGGTAAGCCGGAGTCCTTTTACTTCTTCCTTAGCTAGCTATAAATAAAGTTTATAACTAATAAGAAATAGGGCCTAAATAGCTATCGCGATATAGCGTAGTATTCGCTCCTCTATACGCTACCGGAGCCCTAGATATAGCGGATCTCTAGATTCTAAGATAAGGGCGGCCTTAAGGGCAGACGTAACCTATAAGACTTCTTCTAATACCTTATATATACGTTCGGTAACGTATAGGAGCGGGAGAAAGCGTAAGATAGGCTATAGACCCTTAAGTAGAGAGATAGATAAACCTTTAGCGAATTCCTTCTTAATTTTAAAGAGACGCTCTTATAGGTAGTAGGGACTATAGTATAAGAAGATAGCGCGAAGCTTATATAGCTATAGAATTCGATTACGCTAGCCCTATAAGAGCTACTTATCCCTATAATTATACCTATTAACTACGGCGAGTATATAAGCTAGTTAATAAAGGTAGCTTAGGGCTATAAATAAACGCTATGTTTTTAGAAGCTCTATAAGCGCACGCTATATAGCGGCGATAGGATTACCGCCCCTTTATAAGATAAATAACCGGCTATTAATATAGATAGGGATACCCTAATATCGGCTATCTATATAAACTAGGCTAAACGCGGTAAGAAGACGCCGTCGACTACCCCTTATACCGCCCCGTACTCTAAGTAGTAGGCGAAGTAGGTAACGAGCGAGGAAATCGGAAAGAGAAAGGCTAACGGCCGCTACCTACGTTACGGAGTATCTATATACTTTATATTAAAATGCCCCTTTCTTTTAGCTAAGCGGCCTATAGCGGTTTAAGTAGCGAAGATAGAACCGCTCCTCGCCTTAGATAATAAGGAGGACTCCGCTCCCTTAGGCCTAGAGGAAAAAGAATAGCTCTAGAGTAAAGAGAGGCTCTAAAGCCTTAATTACTAGTACTAGTAAGGGAGAAGGAGGAATTATCCGCCTATATAGAAAAGGAGCTTACTTTAATATAGGTTATAATTAATAACTCCTTACCCGTTACTGCCCTTATAAATAAAGGCTGCTAGTACTACGCTATAGTTAATAAGGCGCTTACGCGAGAGATATAAGTACTAATAGAAAAGATCGCCCTAAGGTAAGTAAAGGGCGCCTTAAGCGCGATAGAGGGTATAGTAATTAGGGGTATTATATAGCTAGCTATAGAGGTCGACGGTTACTATAAGCTTATTATAGCTTATATAATCCCCTAACTAGAATTTCCCTTAATCCTTAGGAAACCCTAGTTATTATATATATAGTTATACTTAGTTCTATACTAAAGGAAGCTATAGTTTAGGCTTATATAACGGTAGGTCTACTACAATAACGGTTTTATAGGCATAGGACTAAGCGTGCGAGCTTTATACTCGGTATAAGAACTCCTTACCTTTATCTTTAAAGGAACTATATAATAGGTAGAGCGGGGGTAAGGCTAGGCAGCGGCTAATATAGCGGTTTACGTAGTTAGC